ACGGTGGAGATGAGGGAGGGAGGGACTGGGAGGGAATGAGGGATTGGGACACGGCTGGGATACAGAGTTAATAAAATGTAACTGATAAGAAAAAAATAAAATTAAAAAAAAAAGAAAATGGAGAAGATAAGACTTCCCAAGAAAATAACTGTGGGGATATAAGAGAAAGAGAAGAATAAAAACTGCCTTTAAATTTGGGGTCCAAATATCTGAAAAGCTTGACATAAGGAATATTCATAGGGGAAGACTGTGAGCTCATAAGGAAACAAAGAATGAATGGTCCAGTGAATAAAACAGCTAATTGAATGGCAGTGTCCATGCTAGCGAGAGAATGCATGGCAGCGGGAGGCAGATCCCCAGAGCCTTTGGCAGGCCATGTGCACTGACCTGACTTTCTATTAATGATTGAGGTCTTTTTTTTTTTTTTTTCATTGATACAATGCAAAGTATAAGCTTAAGTGTTGGGTGAAGAAAACAGTCCAAAAGGGTTCTTAACAATGACAGGATAGATTGAACCATTGAAGGTAAATTAACCTAAACAAAGTCTTGTAAATTTGATTTGTACAAGCAGTATATATTTAGGGAATAGTATTGCTATTAAAATACAATGTTTGTGCTGGTGGGGGTGGGGGTGGGGCGGGGGAGGTGGCACACCTTTAACCCCAGTACTGAGGAGGCAAAGGCAGGCAGATCTCTCTGAGTTCAAGGCCAGCCTTCTTTACAGAGCCAGTTCCAGGACAGCCATGGCTACACAGAGAAACTCTGTATAGAAAATCCAAAACAAAAAGTAAAAAAAGAAAACAAAAAACAGTGTTTGCTCAAACAGATCTAGTTCTATTACACATATAATATAGGAAAAATATACTAAAATCTATACTCCTAAAAAAACTAAACAAGAAGGAGGACCTTAGGGAAGATGCTCAATCTTCATTCAGAAATGTAAATGGGATAGACATTGGAAGTGGGAGAAGACAGGGAACAAGACATGAGCCTACCACAGAGGACCTCTGAAAGACTACTAATCAGGGTATCGAAGCAGAGGCTGAGACTCATAGCCAAACTTTGGGCAGAGTGCAGGGAATTTTACGAAAGAAGGGGGAGATAGAAAGACCTAGAGGGGACAGAAGCTCCACAAGGAGAGCAACAGAGCCAAAAACTGTGCCCAGGGGCCCTGCAGAGACTGATACCCTAACCAAGGACCATGCCTAGAGAGTATCTAAAACTGCTGCACAGATGTAGCCCATAGGCTCAGTATCCAAGTGGGTTCCATAGTAAGGGGAACAGGGACTGTCTCTGACATTAACTTAGTGGCTGGTTCTAGGATCACCTCCCCCAGGCCACAGAGAAAGACAGTGTAGCCTGTCCTGATGAGACCTGATAGGCTAGGGTCAAATAGAAGGGGAGGAGGACCTCCCCTATCAGTGGACTAGGAGAGGAGCATGGGAGGAGAAGAGGGAGGGAAGGTAGGATTAAGAGGAGACTAGGGAGGGGGCCACAGCCAGGATACATAGTGAATAAATTCTAATAAATAATGAATTTTAAAAATACTATTAAAAAAATAAAGACAGATCTAGTCCAAATCTCAACTTGCCCTTCCTGGTTACATGTGCCTTTGATTCAGTTTCATAATGTCTCTTACTTATAAAAACGGCATGCTCATGTTCAAAATGACACAATAAGGCACTTAACACATTGATAAGAAACCTCTTGTTGTGTTCTCACTAGCTATCTCTACTCCATATTTAACTCTATGTGATCTATGTTTTACATTTTTATTGCATTGTTTGTGTGTGTGTGTGTGTGCACATCCAGATGCTTGTGCGCCACAGCATGCATGTAGAAGCCAAAGGACAACTTTGAGGTGACTTTTGTTTTCTTCTGCTTTGTACATTCTGAGGATTGAACTCAGGTCATCAGGATTGGCAGCAAGCAATATCAGATGATCTATCTATCTATCTATCTATCTATCTATCTATCTATCTATCTATCTCTCTATCATCTATCTATCCATCTATCATCTACCTATCATCTATCTATCTATCTATCTATCTATCTATCTATCTATCCATCTATCATCTACCTATCATCTATCTATCTATCTATCTATCTATCTATCTATCTATCTATCTATCCATCCATCCAGAGTTCTATATTGAGTTAACTGTTGGCACAGGTAAAGACTGTCGTGAGCGTTCGTGAACTTCTTGAAAGGTCTTAAGACATAGCCATGCTCTAGAACCTCAAACATTACTTCCCTGGAGGAAGTTTCCTTGTCAGCACTGTTCCCCAGCTGTACCTGCCAATGTCAGTTTTCTCTCCTTCGTCTTTCTCCATTCTGGGTTCACCTAGTGATGCCAGAGGTTACTAAACAAGTGTACGTTTCTTTTTAAATCATATTTAATTATTCTGTTAGCCAAGGTGGTAAGAGTGAATGGCCAATGCGCTTTTACTCACACCAAGAGATAGTGAAGCTGCTATCCTGTCACTCACAGCAATCTGTGGGATTCAAAAGCAAGCTTTTGTTTCTGTTTTAAACAGAACAATATACTCTGCAACTTCCATAAAATTATATAATTTTATATAATAATATCTATATACTGTATATAATTTTATATACTAAGATATGCTAATATAATTATATACTAATTCTATTACAGCTGATTTTATTTTAAGTAGTTTTTATAATACTCCAAAATGTTTTTTGTACAAGGAAATGTGAGACATTTTCTATACACTTGGTTAACAGCTGGCCTTGTCATAAGCATGAAATAAACTACTCTAAATAATAAGGCTGCAAAATTCACTGAAAAAATAAAATGTAATTAAACACGTGCTAGTGGTTGTTTACAACTTATATCTCTTTTAAACATAATAATCAGTGAAGAGTATTGTTACTGGGGGCTGGAGAGATGGCTCAGAGGTTAAGAACACTGACTGTTCTTTCAAAGGTCCTGAGTTCAATTCACAGCAACCACATGGTGGCTCATAAACATTTATAGTGACATCTGGTGCCCTCTTCTGGTGCTCAGGAGCACATGCCGGCAGAATGCTGTATAAATAATAAGTAAGTTAGTAAATAAATCTTTTTTTAAATTTTTTATTTAACTTTTATTAATTACACTTTATTCATTTTGTATCCTCCCATAAGCCCCTCCCTCCTCCTCTCCCGGTCCCACCCTCCCTCCTTTTCTGCATGCATGCCACTCCCCAAGTCCACTGATAGGGGAGGTTCTCCTCTCCTTTCTGATCTTAGTCTATCAGTTCTCATCAGAAGTGGCTGCATTGTCAGGGTTCTAGGTTATCTCCATGAATAGTCCTTGGTTGGAGTATGAGTCTCTGGGAAGTTCCCTGTGTTCAAATTTTAAATAAATATTTTTTTAAAAAGAGTCTTCTTACACGGATATATGATAAGTGATTTTAACTATTTTTATGGGTATTCAGAGATAACTGTTAACAGTATGTTAAGGCTTGGAGAGATGATGGTTCTGTGGTGTGGGGTACTTTTTGTGCATCCATGAAAACTGAAGTTCAGGCCCCTGTACCGTACCATTTGTGTGCCCAACAAATGCCTGTAACTACAGCTCCAAGGAGTCTGTCTGGTGCCTCTGTGAACGTGTTTACGCATAAACACACATACACACACATAGGCATGCACACACACATGTAGACACACAGTTTTTGAAGAATTGCTGTGTTAACCAACAGAAGAAGATAAATAATCTTTTCCTTTTTAGAGACTGTCCATAAACGACATGGAGGAATCATATTTTGTTGGCTACAAAATATAATTCCTGCGGCTGCAACATCTTTTACTTTGGTCAGCATTTAGATTTTTCTTCTCTACTTATTCATCAGTTAAAAAAAAAATGTTTAAGGGAGCTGGAGGGATGGCTCAGCCGGTGAGAGCGCTGTCTGTTCTTCCAGAGGTCCTGAGTTCAATTACCAGCAACCACACGGTTGCTCACAACCATCTATACTGGAATCTGATGCCCTCTTCTGGCATCCAGGTGTACATGAAGATAGAGCACTCATACATAAAATAAATAAATACTATCTCTTAAAAGTGTTTAAATGGCAAAACTGATCAAATCTTTTCCATTTCTGGTGTTAATGGAAATGCTTGAGTAGAGCAGCTTTTGTATCAGAAATCATGCTTTGCCCTTTCCCTCAGGTGATAGCTGTGTAGTTTGTTCTTTCCCTATTAGGTGATAGCTGTGTAGTTTGTTTTGGCTTGTTTGTTTGTTTGTTTGTTTGTTTGTTGAGACAGAGTTTCTTTGTGTAACCTTCGTTGTCCTGAAACTCACTCTGTCAACTAGGCTGGCCTCAGACTCAGAGATCTACCTGCCTCTGCCTCCCAAGGGCTGGGATTAAAGACGTGTGCCACCACACCTGATTTGCATAGTTTCTTTCAATGGTTCAAAATAAGAAGATCTACAAGTTCTGCTCCGCTCTGTCTTTTATTTAAGTAGATTTCTCCCTTGAAGTCGGATGGTGTGAAAGTGATAAGTCAGGATTCAGCAGGCCTGCTGGCTGAGATGAATTTCTGCACGGCCGCTTACTTTGTGCGTATGTGGCCGGTTACTCCCCACATGAAGGTGAAGTAGCTACACCTTTCCCGTAGGCTTCCTGTTAGGATAAAGTACACAGTGGTTCCCGGAATACAGAAAGTACTATACGGTCCTTATTGTTGCACAACTTAGGGTACGCATGCCACGTGTTCAGCTTCTGAGTGTCATAAACTGAACAGTCCAGCAAGCAAATCACAAGGCAGAAAGTAGAGCCTCTGAGCCCTTCTCGTGTCCCCTAGTAGTCACTACCCCTTTCCAAGGGGACCTGCTATGCTGGCTTCTCATTAGTTTTACTGACAGCCATTGCTGAGCTGCACTATTCTGAAGGGAAAAAAAGGGATCACGGTGCAGCATTTTTTTTTTTTTTTTTTTTTTTTTTTATCTGAGAGACACTATTTGCTGATGGCTCTCTTCTTCTATTTTGGTTTTTAGGTTGAAAAAGCTCCTCGAACAAGAGAAGGCTTACCAAGCCCGCAAGGAGAAAGAAAATGCTAAGCGGCTCAATAAACTCCGGGATGAGCTTGTGAAGCTCAAGTCGTTCGCACTCATGTTGGTGGATGAGAGGCAAATGCACATTGAGCAGCTGGGCCTGCAGAGTCAGAAGGTCCAGGACCTCACTCAGAAGTTGAGAGAGGAGGAAGAAAAGCTCAAAGCCATCACTTACAAATCCAAAGAGGACCGCCAGAAACTGCTCAAGTTGGAAGTGGACTTTGAGCACAAGGCCTCGAGGTTTTCCCAGGAGCACGAAGAGATGAATGCCAAGTTGGCTAACCAAGAATCTCACAACAGGCAACTTAGACTCAAACTGGTTGGCTTATCTCAAAGGATTGAGGAGCTGGAAGAGACCAATAAAAGTCTCCAGAAGGCGGAGGAAGAGCTTCAGGAGCTGAGGGACAAAATCGCCAAAGGCGAATGTGGAAACTCCAGCCTCATGGCGGAGGTGGAAGGTCTGCGCAAGCGCGTGCTCGAGATGGAGGGCAAGGACGAGGAGATCACGAAGACCGAGGCCCAGTGTAGGGAGCTGAAGAAGAAGCTCCAAGAGGAGGAGCATCACAGCAAGGAGCTGAGACTGGAGGTGGAGAAGCTGCAGAAGCGGATGTCCGAACTGGAGAAGCTGGAGGAAGCCTTCAGCCGGAGTAAGTCAGAATGCACGCAGCTCCATTTGAACCTGGAGAAGGAAAAGAACCTAACCAAAGACCTGCTGAATGAGCTGGAGGTGGTCAAGAGCCGGGTGAAAGAGCTTGAGTGCTCGGAGAGCAGGCTGGAGAAGGTCGAGTTAAGCCTGAAAGATGACCTGACGAAGCTCAAGTCCTTCACTGTGATGCTGGTGGATGAAAGGAAAAATATGATGGAAAAAATAAAGCAAGAAGAGAGGAAAGTGGACGGGCTGAACAAAAACTTCAAGGTGGAACAGGGAAAGGTGATGGATGTCACCGAGAAGCTGATTGAGGAAAGCAAGAAGCTCTTAAAACTCAAGTCCGAAATGGAGGAAAAGGTGTATAGTTTGACAAAGGAGAGAGATGAACTGATGGGCAAGTTGAGGAGTGAAGAAGAGAGGTCCTGCGAACTGAGCTGTAGTGTTGACTTGCTGAAGAAGCGGCTTGACGGCATAGAGGAGGTGGAAAGGGAAATAAACAGAGGCAGGTCGTGCAAGGGGCCTGAGTTCACCTGCCCAGAGGACAACAAGATCAGGGAGCTGACGCTTGAGATCGAGAGGCTGAAGAAGCGTCTCCAGCAGCTGGAGGTGGTGGAAGGGGACTTGATGAAGACCGAGGACGAGTATGACCAGTTGGAGCAGAAGTTCAGAACAGAGCAGGATAAGGCGAACTTCCTCTCCCAGCAGCTAGAGGAGATCAAGCACCAAATGGCCAAGAACAAGGCCATAGAGAAAGGCGAGGCTGTCAGTCAGGAAGCCGAGCTGCGACACAGGTTTCGGCTGGAGGAGGCCAGAAGTCGCGACTTACAGGCCGAGGTGCAGGCCCTCAAGGAGAAGATCCATGAGCTCATGAACAAAGAAGACCAGCTGTCCCAGCTCCAGGTCGACTATTCGGTCCTTCAGCAAAGGTTCATGGAAGAAGAAAACAAGAACAAGAACATGGGGCGGGAGGTTCTCAACCTGACCAAAGAGCTGGAGCTTTCCAAGCGCTACAGCCGAGCTCTCAGGCCCAGCGGCAACGGCAGGAGGATGGTGGACGTGCCGGTGGCCTCCACCGGGGTGCAGACAGAGGCAGTGTGCGGGGATGCTGCGGAGGAGGAGGAGACTCCGGCTGTGTTCATTCGCAAGTCCTTCCAGGAAGAGAACCACATCATGAGTAATCTTCGGCAGGTGGGCCTGAAGAAACCCATGGAACGGTCCTCGGTCCTCGACAGGTATCCCCCAGCAGCCAACGAGCTCTCCATGAGGAAATCTTGGATTCCGTGGATGAGAAAAAGAGAAAACGGCCCCTCCACCCCGCAGGAGAAAGGGCCCAGGCCAAACGCGGGAGCAGGGCACCCCGGCGAGCTGGTCCTGGCCCCGAAGCAGGGCCAGCCCCTGCACATCCGCGTAACACCAGACCACGAGAACAGCACCGCGACCCTGGAAATCACGAGCCCCACATCCGAAGAGTTCTTCTCTAGTACCACCGTCATTCCGACCTTAGGCAACCAGAAACCAAGGATAACCATTATCCCATCACCCAATGTCATGTCGCAGAAGCCCAAAAGTGCAGATCCTACTCTGGGCCCAGAACGAGCCATGTCCCCTGTCACCATCACTACTATTTCCAGAGAGAAGAGCCCTGAAGGTGGAAGGGGCGCGTTTGCAGACAGGCCTGCGTCCCCCATCCAGATCATGACGGTGTCGACGACGGCGGCTCCCCCTGAAATCGCTGTCTCTCCTGAATCCCAGGAAGTACCCATGGGAAGGACTATCCTCAAAGTCACCCCGGAAAAACAAACTGTTCCAAGCCCCGTGCGGAAGTACAACTCCAATGCCAACATCATCACCACGGAAGACAATAAAATTCACATTCACCTAGGGTCTCAGTTTAAACGATCCCCCGGGCCTGCCGCTGAAGGAGGGAGTCCAGTCATCACCGTCCGGCCTGTCAGCGTGACAGCTGAGAAGGAGGTCTCTACAGGCACAGTCCTCCGCTCTCCCAGGAACCACCTCTCTTCGCGGCCTTGTGCTAGCAAAGTGACCAGCTCTATAACCATAACCCCGGTCACAACCTCATCCACCCGAGGAACCCAGTCAGTGGTGAGTAGAGGTGGACCCAGAGCACGGCACAAGCAGGGCTGGGGAGACTAAGCCGGCTCCCACAGAGAAAGGAACTCCCTGCCTCTGCCTGCATCCAGATGCTCCCCCAGAGATTAAAAAAAAAAAAAAAAAAAGAATTTTAAGAAAAACATTTCATTTATTCATGTAAATTTATGGAGATTCCATCACACACTTGCATACATAATCTTTTTAATGGTGCTATAGAATAAGGTTTAAAATGTGACTTTTAAAAAAATACTCAAGATACTTTTTTTAAACATTTATTTATTTATATGAATGCTCTGGCCATACAGCCACGTGTACATCTGAAAGTTAGAAGAGGGCACCAGATCTCATTATGGGTGGTTGTGAGCCACCAAGTGGTTGCTGGGAATTGAATTCAGGACCTCTGGAAGAACAGCCAGTGCTCTTAACCACTGAGCCATCTCCAGCTCCCAAAACACTTAAAAAGAAAAAAAAAAAGCCATTCAGGGCTGGAGAGATGGCTCAGCTGTTAGTTTCCAGGCTCACAACCAAAAATATAAAAACAAGCAGTTCATATACAAGAATAGTTAAAACGGTTCCCAGATTTATTTCTATAGTGTAAATGGTCATGGGTGATTATATATGACCACAGCCACAATTTATTCCAAAATTAAGGCTGAAAGATTTTAATATTAACATATTTTAAACAAAGAAGAAGTGACTTTATATGCTGAAATCTGTATTTTATTTAGCAACATCTTACAAAGAGCATGGATTTTCTGTACATATTTATCTGATGAGTTAGATGGGATGACAAGTTTTAAAATGTCTGAAGTATATCTTAAGTGTAAATTGTATTTTTCAAATACTCTCAACACTGTCTTCATTTACTGGGGGCAAATTTCTTATACAACAGCAAGTGCCTTTTAAATATTAATTCAAACAAGCAGGCTAAAAATTGTGATTCTTACCTACAGAACAAATTCTATAGCTCGTGCTGAAATCTCTTTCAAGCAAGCTCATTATTTAAATGCGTAAGCTATGATCTGTCTTCCCATGTCCTCAGTATAATTTACATTTTCTGTGCACGGATTCATGGCAGGCTTTATAGTGTGAATCAGGCATTGCTTTGACTGTAGCACTCTGAGTTATTGGCTCCACTGGAGCCAGACAGCATCAGTAGCCTTCTCTAAAGATGCTGAACTGCTCCTCGGCAGGACATGGCCATGCTGGGTAAGGTCTTGCATCTCTGCATGTTGTAAATAGCGGAGGTGTAAATCATCTTATCCCAGAGCAGATTCTTCTGCATCTTCTCCCTGCTTCAAAGTTCAGATTGATAGTCTTACCCTCTGGATACCACTTAAGCCCTATATACAAACAATATTTTTAAAAAACAATTCTGTAGGGTTTCTCAGACCTAGATGATAATGGTCCGTGTATTTTGGTAAGTTCAATATGAGAAAATTCAGGACAACCAGAAAGTCTAGAACGTAATCAGTGAAGCTAGTTCATTTGGGTGTTTACTCATTTACCTTTTTATTGAGCATCAGTCATACCCCCCACCATGGTTTCAGTGAGCAGAGATCTGCAGAGGTTCCAGAGTCAACGAGGCAGGACTCAGAGGACTTAGTCAGTCTGTGGTGAAGGTATGTCCAAAGGAACCACCAAAGGAGGGGTCATAGGTCAGAAGGCACTGGAAAGAGTGGAGACAAGCAGAATGTGTGAAGGCCTGGCCGTATAAGGGGCCTGATGTGCTTGGGGCATAGTGAACGATCCCATTGTGCTGTGGGAGTGGGGTTGGGGAGAAAATATAGGTGCAGAAAATTCAAATGCACATAGGGACTGGGCATTGGGTTATGAAACCGACATTCAGGTTCTCTGAATAAATAAAGTCAATGAAAAGGTAATGCATGGCGCTGAAAACGTTTTACATTGTTTTCGAAAGTTGAATCTAGAAACCATCTGAAAGGACAATTGGAGAGAATGCAGGCTAAACACAGGTGCCGTTCCAGTTCTCCAGGCTAGAGATGGTAAGGGATTAAACTGGGGTAGTGACAATGCAAACAGGGATGTATTGAAAACATAACTGAGAGCCAGGCACAGTGGTGTATGCTAGGAGTTCTAGTACTCAGGAAATAGGCAAGAGGGCTGCAGGTTTCAGACCAGCCAGGATTACATAGTAAGAACATGTTTCAAAAGGTAGAGGAGGAAGAATCTAAAAGAGTTCACAACAGAGTGCACGCAGACGATGGCTCAGGGGTTCCTGCCTTTGCTGTGTAACTAGAGGGAGAAATGTAAGACTCGCTGCGCATGTCAGAGTGCAGCATGGTACTTTGGAGATGCCTGTGAGATGCTGTCCATGTCCAGCGAGCAGATGGCAGTCAGATCTGCACTTCAGGAGGGACCGGCAGTTAGAGACTCTTAGGGGTTGGATGCATGGAATACAAGAAAGGGAATTCTCTTTAATAGAAGGGCTTGAGGCTAGGACATGGTGACACATCCAGGAGGCAGGGTTGAGTGAACCAACAGGAGGAAAAGGGAGTCATTAGAGCTTGGAAGCATTGGTGAGACTCATCCAGAGACCAAAGCAAGGCACTTTGAGGAACAGAGCAAGAAGGTATGTGTGGTCAGTGCCAATTAAAAGAGAAAAGTCTGAGCTCATTAGTAGGTGGAAAGAGCCGCTTCCTCTGAAATGGTAGAAAAGAAGGACAGTGGCACACCTAGGCACTGAGGTCATCACCTCTAGGGGTAGAGATGGTGAACTAAGGTTTGAGAGGGAGGTTTAGCATAGATGTTTCAAGGAAGGGAAAGAGGAAGGAGGAAGAGTGGGTTAGATGCCAGCTCCAGCATCCCTAGTCCTTCTCCCTGGGATGGGTTGTTGTGGATGCTTCCTTGTGGCAGGAATGACGCTAACGCACAGGTGGAACTGGAGAAACTCACCAAGGCGCCCCTTTTGTCTGTGCTTTCTCTTACAGTCAGGACAAGATGGGTCATCTCAGCGGCCTACACCCACCCGCATTCCTATGTCAAAAGGTATGAAAGCTGGAAAGCCAGTAGTGGCAGCCCCAGGAGCAGGAAATCTGACCAAATTCCAGCCTCGAGCTGAAACTCAGTCTATGAAAATAGAGCTGAAGAAATCTGCAGCCAACAGCACTGCCCCTCTCGGAGGGGGGAAGGGCTGAGGGCAGTGGCTCAGGGGGTATGTTGTAAGGATGCTACTGCTGCCATGGAAACAAACTTTCCTCTGTCTGTGCCAACCCTTTACGTGTACTACTAATTTAAGGTTTAAATATCGTGTTAATCACATAACCACCTAATAGCCATGTGTTTTTATTATTTGTGCATTTGGAATTGATTAGCAGAATTGCCGTTTGCTCGATGTTTTGTTGAAGATGCTGGTCCTGAGGCAGAGGCTGGCCTCGAGTTCGGTTTTACTTCTAGCATATGGCTCCATCCAATTTAGCTCACCAGCTAAGGAACCTCAGTATCCTCACCAGTGAGATCTGAGGACCACATTACATGCCCCAAAAGCTGGCTCCCAAATTTTCTAATTGTAAGACAACTTTAATAGACTTAGTTCTACAATCTGCCACCCCCCCCAAAAAAAAACTATTTTGAAATAAGAGAGTTTAACAGTTGTCATTATGCACTATCAAGTCCTGAGTATGATATATGTGATGTAAGAAAAAAATATTTCAAAGCTATCACAGGGCCTCTAAAATTTTGGGAAAACGAAAGCCCCCAATATGACTTCAGGAAACAATTTTAACATTAAATAAAATGGAAATGAACTGTGGAATCTGAAAAAAGAGAGTTTGATTTATTTGCGTGTGTTCGTGTGTGTTGTAGAGGTTGGGGCCACCTCAAACCACTCCCGGAATTTTGTAGACAGTAACTTTGAACCCTTAGGATCAGAGTTAGGCTCTATTCAAGTGTGCAGTTGGTTGGATTTGTAGCGGAGTGGACTAGAGCTGCCAAATGGCCCTTTAAAAGCTCAACAGAAATAGCGATGAATAAAAAACAGCAGAAAGCAAATTTAGATACTTTAATGCCAAGGAAAAAGTGACATCATCCACAGTGTAATTGAATTTAATATTTTCCTTAGTTAAGTGTGGATTCTATTTGCAGATGTAGAATAGATCATGATTTGGGGGGGGTGTGTGTGCCTGTTTTCTATGTGTGGTGTGGGGAAGATCTTTATTATTACTGTCAGTTTTACTCATGTTTGAATAACTTTTTAAATTTTTTACGCATGTTCTAATAAGTATGGAACAGAGTGTAAATGCAGAATGCCATGTGTCTGTGAGATTAACCTTGAAAAAGTGGATTTTGTGCTTCATGGTCCTATAACCGCAAACCGGTTCAAGGCTGGTAAACTGCAGCTTAGCATACCACCATCTCATGCAGACCATGTCTTTGCCAAAATTTCTGGGCTACATAGGTGAACTTCATAAAATTTCGGTCACTCCAGAGTTACAGATTTGCACATTTCCGTTTGTGAGTTCTTGAGCTTCCAAAACCACGTTGGGATAGCACACATTTTGGGTATTGAGAAAGGCAAGTTGGAAAAAGATTCGTGCTTAGTTTTCAGGCTGTGGTCCAGTGTGTCTCACGATGAAGAAGCACTTCTCTGCATTCCTTATATCCTGCAGAACTCGGATTGCACCGGCTATGCTGGCAGGTGTCACTGCCTCCCGTTACACACACACACACACACACACACACACACACACACACACACACACATACACATAAGGTAGATCTGTCGCCTGCTGCTCATTGGTTCTCAGCATTTAAATTAAACTATGTTTAGCCGCCCTGTTAACAACAGTCCAGCATGCTGGGTCCAGAAGGTCAAAGAGAAATAGGGATCAGCAAAGATGCATGTATGATCTCTGGACAAATGTAAACAGGACAATCTGCCAGTTAGAAAAGTGACTTGTGTTTCTTAAGGGATTTTTCTCCTTTCTCACCCATGGACATCCAACCCTTTCAGAGACAAGGACACTTATTGTTTTACCAGTGCCTTCCTTGTTGTGTTTGTGAGGTGTTCGGCGTAGCTGTTCTGTGGCATACACTGTTGGGGCAATGGCAGAGTCGACTCTGCCTGCCCTCCTTCAAGTGGCTTACAGCCTCAGTGTCACTTGCTGAGCTTGCTTTTACTTGCCCACGCCGTGGCTACAGCACTTCCTCCTGGAAGTTCATATCACCCCAGGGAGAGCACTCAGAAAGACTTAACAGTGAATGTACAGGATGTTTATGTGTGCAGGTCTGGCATAGAGCCATGCACAAAGTACAGCTGCTAAGAAAACCTGGCAGAATAATTCATGGTCATTTCAGAAATGACAAAAAAGTAATCACCGGGGAAGTTTCTCTTTGTAATTTTTAGAAGCCTCTGTACATTTATTGGCTAGCTTTGTTTCAAAGTACGCGTTAGAAGTGGAACACACAGGGGGTAGGAAGTGGAGGATTAAATGCAGCCTGACTTCACCAGCCCATTGGTAAGTGTTTGAAAGGTGCTAATTAATGTGCTTCTGTAGGAGTGAATGGGCTAAAACACTTAAGCCTTCTCCTGTCTGTTGTTGCTCCCATTGTATGTGGTGCTAAAATAAAAGTGCTCTCACAGTGGCTGATGTGTACCACTGCTGTTTGGAGCCTGCAGTGAGAAACTCTTAAGAGGTAGGATACGTGGTGTGTCATTTCCCCAGAGTTCACCGTCATGACGCTTTCTGGGGATGTGCCCGTACAATCCATACAGCTAGAGAAGAGACCCTGGTCTTCCACACCTGTGAATTAACTGCGTATATTGACACCATGATGGTGACTACTATGGCAGGCACGGTCCCAGGCATGCTCTGATACGGGCCGCTCCTGCACCATGTTTGTCATATCAAAGCTGTGAGCTTCACGTGTAGGCCCTTCGCTTGAACGGGGTAACAGGCTTCCTATCGTCTGCAGGAGGACAGGTTCATGGTCAGCACCAGTACTGCCCCTCTTGAGATGTTAGTATATTCATCAAGGGTGTTAATAGACCCCTTACTCGGTTGTTTTCAAGAGTGATAGCAAAACCCAGCACTGAGGTGTAGCCTAAGGATAGTATAATTTCAGTGATGAAACACGCCCACGAGTGCAAGATGCAAAAATGTTGGTTTCTCATTCCCTCATAAAGCAGAATACTGAGGGAAGAATGAGACTTCTGTGAGGAGCAAAACCAGAAGAATGTAGGTGAGAAGAGCGCAAGTGGGATGTTGAGGGGCTTCTGTGATGGGCAGTTGTCTGACGCTGTAACACCCTAGTTTTGATATGAAGCAATAAAAAAAGAGGGAGAGATGTGTGTCAGAGGCTGAAGAACAGAGAGAGAGGGGAGTGGGGAGGATGGAGGGAGTGAGGAAGGGAAGAGGAGGAGAATATGAGGATAACAAAGAGATAGGGATAGGGAAGATTTAAAAATCTCCCAGTGAGCTGGACACGGTGGGGCACACCTTTAATCCCAGCACTCAGGGAGACAGAGGCAGGCGTTCTCTGTGAGTTTGAGGCTAGCCTGTCTACAAAGCAAGTCCGGGACATCCAGGGCTACACAGGAAAAAAAACCTGTTTCGAAAAACCAAAACCCAAAACTCCCCAAATGTAACATGTCCCTTCCACATCCTCCAGAGTCTCATCATTGGCTCCCTCTTCAACCCTGTTCTTTCTCTCCCTCCTCTTCTGTCTTCTATCTTTTGCATGCTCCCTGCCTCCCTCAATCCCCTCACCCCCATTTTCCATCATCTGCCCCTCTCTCCCCCTCCCCATCTCCATAAGTACTCCACTACTGTGCTACACTTCCAGCTCAGCTCAGGCTCTCCTTTTTACCTACAAAGCAAGTCCAGGATCTAAAGGAATTCACAGGTCTGGCAAACCTTCCCCTTCCTGTGCACAGGCTTCTGCAGTTCCTACTGTCGCCATCCATGCCCCACCTCAGCGATTGACGGGACCGCCCACATCTCCTGCCTCTGCTCTCACGCTGCGCATTTATCTACCCTTAACATTTTAATTTCTAAAAAGACTTCGTTTTTAATCATGTGCTTGTGTGGTTAAGTGCACTGGAGTGCAGGTGCCCTTCGTAGGCCAGGGACGTTGGCTCTCTCCAAGATGGAGTTGTAGGCAGTTGCGTGCTACTGGCTTGGGTGCTGTGTTTTGAACTCCAGCCCTCTGCAGGAGCAGTGCATGATCTTAACTGCTGAGCCATTCCTTCCAGCCTCAACATTTTCTTTTCAAAGAATAATTCATGCACATTGTCCTTGTTGTGAAAATAACCAGTCCATGGTAATAAAAGTAGTCGTTGCCTGCTTTTTCCCCCTGACCCAAGGTTTTCCTTGGGCACATCTTTTCCGGCTTGTACCTGTTTCTTCAAACATTTGTCTCCATATTTGTAAATAATGTCCTTATACCTGAACCTCTTATTTCTGGATTTTAGATATATTATGTCTTCCTATTACTGTTTTGGAAGTAAACAGTTAGGTTTCTGACTTTTCCCTTTTATCCATCCTCTCAACATGATCATATCACATTTTTTTTTTTGCTATATCAGTTATATGTTTAAGTGTTTATAAAATGGGTACAGTGGAAACTTGAATATGGTTTCCTGCCGAACCAAGTTGTACACTCCAAGTGTGTTCTATTCCTCTTGACACTTCTTCCAAGGAATAATTGCTTTAATCTTTCATCTGTTTGGTTCTCTATGTATCTATTTTAGTTTTCCCAAACACTCCATTTGATCTGCCAAACACCGATCAGTAATTTTTCCGACACTTAAACACAGCAGTTTTCTATTTCTTCCTAGAGGCCTTTCTAGTACAGCCCTCTGCTCCCCTCAAGCTGGACTGGTTGTCCTCCAAGACTGCTGTCCAGCTGTTGTCCTTTTGCCTGAACTGAATCCAGCCTTGCTTTTCCTCTCACTCCTCTCTTCCTCTCTGCTCCTCCCTTCTTCCCCCACATGAAGAGGTCATGGGACAACTTTCAGAAGTTGAGTCTATGTACCACAGGTTCCAGGG